TGCTGCAGGTACTGCAACACAGGCAACTTCATTTGGGAGCCCCAAATGATATATAATCACAGTACACGATGTGTGTTGGTGCAGAGGTAGTTGGCTAATAGTGTCCTTTATGTTCCCATAATACCCAAATGCTTTACACTTAGGAATGCCAGTTAACCTAGATTTAGCAGACAAGATTACCCTACCCTGTAGCTTCAACACTGTCCCTAAGGACAGGCAAAGGCCATTGGAATGTAGAAGCAAGCATATTTCAGCCCACATTACCTTTTCCTAAGCAGAGATGAGTAATTGCAAAGTGAACATCTTGGGAATTGTCCCGCAAAATTCTTCTGCTTGTGTACTTGCCTTTTGTTGTGAATTCAGTAACTGCTTGCTTGCAGAGATTTACTTGCAGCAGGTAACCAGAAACCACCCTGTGTTACAAGAGCCTGCCTGCCCCAACCATGGGCTAAGCCCCCAGGCAGTACAGTTTGTTATGAGGGAGATTTTCCTCTTATGCTCAGTTGCTTTGTATCATGCTCAGGCATCGGAGAGCTGCGGCTGCCTGTACAGGGTCATTTTATTCAGGCAGGGAATGCAAACCACGTGGCATGACTGTTACTGTATTGCTGTTTCTCACTAAAATGCTTAATTTTCTGTAGTTAATATGCAAGGACTGATCTCCTACATCTGTAAGAATCCCTATGTAAAAAGTGTTCAGTTAGGAAGGAAATATGGTTTGAGTCACTGCTTCTGGGCGTCAGAATCAGTTAATAGAAATAATCTACCTCATCTTCTGGTGAATAGAGTGAGATCAGGTTCCTTGGCAAGTACTGGACTCTTTTGTAGTTTGGTCATCTTTTGGAAGACCCTGTGTTGCTGTTGCGCAACTTCCCTGTTGCTGCAGCTTGAGACTCTTGTTGTGATGTGTGCCTTTGTCTAGCCTGCTGCACTAGACATAGATGTCACTGCTCCCCTGACAGGAGGAAAAAAAAAAAAAAAAAGGTTCTGTAATATTTTTTAAAAAAATGTTAACTGGATGAATACTTTTGTTTTTAGTTCTTTATTTTTCTTATCATGTATAGTCAGTTTTGGGGAATCCTTTACCCTCCAACATCTACATATGATTATGTTTTTCACCCTCTCATGTCAACAGGTTACACAGGTACGAACAGCCTATGTGGGCTCTGCTCAACTGCTTGGTTGAAGCTGAACTTGTGGTAGTAATGGAGATGTTAGATGGTGTGCGAGGACCAGAAGCCTGTAGCACAAATGGGATCTCCTTTTCATGGGAAAATGTCTGAAACAGAGGACAGCCCAGTATTCAGGTTCCTGTTACCCACTGTTGGAACTGGCCATTCGGGAACCTGTGTCCTGCCTTCAGGTGGAGGGCACTCGCATAGGACATCTGTAAAGCAAAGAGGGCTCTATACTGCCTGGAAGGTGGAGGTATCAGATGGCATCTGAGGTTTGTGTATCTTTATGATGAATGTTAACACTATGTGTTGCATTTATGAACCAAAGTGGAGAGGAGGCCAAGAAACTTTTTAAATGCTTTTATGCTTAACATGAGCTAAAGGTCGTGGAGTTACTTCTGAATGTATGCCATTTCATGGGCTGGCTGAATGGTTTTGGAAAAGGCAGATCATGTTTTTCAGCTGACAGTCCCTGGTAGTTAGCACTGTATTAGAAAGCAGAGCATTTTAACTTGAGTGTCGGCAGAGTGAACCATGGCATCAGAGCTGCTGATTGCAGTAGCCTTGCTGGTCAGGAAGGCTCTTGTGGCTCTGCAGGAGGGTAGGTAAGCAAAATGTTAGAGTGAAATGGCACTGGGTGCTATTGCTGTTCTGCTACTGGGTATTGCTTTTGTTTATTCCCATCAGCATCGGTATGAAGTAGGTGTGGGCTGGAATTGAAAGTCACAAGAGTTTTGGTATATTCAGATTTTTCTTAATCGTTTTTGACTCCCCTCATTACTGCCCCTCTCCACACTTCAAGCCTAGTGTTTTGAGCTGTTGCTAATTACTCCTATGCAGGGTGGTGGGGCCCACTGTCATCTTTCCTATAGCTTTTCTGGGGTTTGCTGTTCTACAGTTACTCCCCAAGCTTTGTTACCTCAGCAGATTAAATCTTGGGCAGATTTTGTTCTAGCATCACTCTGGCCTGTCGCGAGAAAGCAGCTCCCTTGTTAAGTTAATGACCTGCGTTTTGCCTCCAAGGCCGCCTTTTGCTGTGCAGCCCTAGGGTGATGTATAGCGTCAGTATTTATGAACTGTCTCTGTTCTCCTGTCATGGTTACGCACCTAAGGATGCAAATAGTGTTTTACCGTCCTTGAAGGCTCTTTCTGCTGCCTCTGCCAGTCTCTGCCAGCTGAAGTGCTACTGCCTTCTCTTTTCGTAACGTATCTGACAAAATTGCTTTCCTCAGGACAAAGAAATAGTACCAATCAGCTCATTTATGTTTTATTTTCTGATGTAATTTGCTGCCTGCATCTTTGCGTCAGAGTTTATCATTCACTATTTCTCAATTCTACCTGAAGACATGTTTGCTATTCCCTTTTCATGGCCACTGCTCTCAGCCTGCTGGTGGTCATGCTCCTCTGTTCTGCAAGGATTTAATTCGTGCCGCTTTCCTCTCTGCTTGGTGTTTCTTGCAGCAATTCGATGACCTTTCAGGAGCCAGCGGAAGGAGAATGCTTTTTCGTGCACACCAAGCATCGCCAGACAGGACCTTGTTAGCACATTCAGCTTTCCTTGAAGTTTCTCCATCTGTTTCCTCTTTATAAGGTGTCCTCACAGACTTTTGCCTGTGTCTTGGGCGTCAGCTCTTGTTCATGTGCCCATTTCCTGCATTCACCTCAAATAGTCTTGTGCACTGGAGTGGAAACTGCCCTGCGCTGGGAATCCAAATGTCTGTTTCAGCCTCTTCCCATCTTGTTTCCAGTCTTGAATGGAAATCTTTTCTCCTAGGAAATACCCTTCTCACTTGCGTTTTCGTAATGCTACCTCTGCTGGTTTCTGCCAAGTGCTCAGGAGGCAAGTTTTCTTGTAAACACAAAGTTGTATTGCAATGAAGTTATTACAAAGCCAAATAAAACTGCTTACTTGGAAGAATTTTTTTTTTTTTTTCAGCGAATAATTTGAGGAACATAGTTCTTAAAGGTGATGTGTCTGTATTTTCATGCTATAGGAACAACATGTTGTACCTGAAACACCTGCTGTACCGCTACTCTTAACTGTACTTGCTTGTTTGCAGCATTATGCTGGGTGGAGTGCTCCTCCCAAACCCCTGCGGTTAGATGCAGTAGAAATGCTAAGGAAAGGAAATTCGTCAAGGGACCAGCCCAGAGAGCTTGTAGATTAAGGCAGGAAAAATACAGCAAACTACAGGCAGAAAATAAGGAAAGAATTAAATCCTTTTAGGAGAGGTACTGGCAGTGGTCTCTGCACATCTGTGCTACTGTCAATTTTGAGTTTGTGTGTGTTTGCGTGCATGTGGAAGGGTGCCTTAGCAAAGCAGAGTTGCAAGGAGGATTAGAGGAGAGCATTGAGAACATTTGCAAAAGCTTTTCCATATGAGGCAGGAGCATGTGCCAAGTGCTAGTTTGTAACATTCCCAAGATGGTGATGGTAGCTGATATCATGCATCAATGAGACGCAAACTGACCTCTTGATACTGACCGAGAGAAAATCATGATGTTGGGAAAAGTCAAGACAGGTCACCTGTATTTTATGTGAAAGAGAATAGAAGACAGGCAAGAGAGGCAAAGGTACCATTAAAGTGGCAGAGCAGAACGAGATTTTTCTTACAGGGATGAGAACGGTAATGTTACTTTGGTCAATACTCGATTACAAGGTGTCACAGTGGCTGAGACCCAGTCTAGTCTCAGCTAGTTCCTTTAGTTGGGTGAATCAATAGGGAAAGACTGTAGATGGGCATGTGAAGAAGACAACTCATCCTAGTCAGGGTGTGAAGGTTTAGGAATTGAGTCAAATAGGATTGCTAGCTTGTGACCCCAATTGGCAGGGAAAATAGTGAAGTTTTCCAGCAGGGGAGACAATAGGAGGTAGGTAGCATTGTGAAAGTAAGGGCTTAGTTTCTCCTCTTGGGTTAGAATTAGTGCCTAGGTATCCAAGAAAAGTCAAAGAAACTGAGATTTAGATTCAGACAGGAGGAAATGACACTGTGCTGGCTACATAGATAAAATAGTTATTGCCCACGTGTAACATGGCGAAAGGAAGACAGAGCCCCAGAGACCTCAGAATACCAGGGGGTAGTGGCCCATCACGGGGGTAACTCCAATCCTGTAGGTTAAGGGGGACAAGGAAAGGGAAAAGATGAAGGTTAATTTAGGTAATAGGAGCAGAATTAGGAGGGCATAGGTAAGGAAGCTGAAGGAGGATGAAGTTTTGAGAAGGGGAATGTGATCAGATATGTCTGTGGTAACAAACAGGTGAGAAAATGAGTCAAGAAACTGGCTCTGAATTTTGAGTAAGGATTTTGGATGTAAGAATGAAGTGAGGAAAAGGAAGTAAAAGGGAACTTCATGGAGCTTTACAGATGAAAGGCAGAAGGGAGATCAATGGCACTGACATGCAGGTGAGGTCAGAAGTAAATTTTTTGGGTTGGGGGCTTGTTTGGAGATTCTGAAAAGGGTTTGTTTTGGGAAATAAAAATGGGTGGGGAGAGATGGCAAAACATGAGCGTGAAGGAGAGAGTAGGCAGATGTGAAAGGAGGGTACTGAAGCATTAGAGAAGGAGAATGAACAGGAGGTCAAAGATATTTACACTTTGTTTTGACGCTGGGGAGGGCTGGATGTATGTGAAGGACACCCATCTGTTGTTTTGAGATAATAGAAGGAAACAGGTCACTAAGTGAGCACACAAAGTGAAGGGCATGGGGAATTAATAGACTGATTGGGTTGAGGGAGAACTTGGCTGTGTGCATGGGTTTGATTTGTGAAGTGTCATATTTGCTACATGCTCTGTAAATCTCCATTTCTTGATTATGTTTTTGCAGTGCGGCTCCATGACAGTATTTCAGAAGAAGGTTTCCATTACCTTGTCTTTGATCTGTAAGTGTCTTTCTTTGGCTTTGATCCTTCACCAGTGATACAGGCACATGGATGGTTGACTAAGAGTGGAATAAAAAACCCCTGCATTAACATATTCTCCCTTTCTCTTTTGAGACCTGTAGATACCTCTGGCCTATTTGACAAAAATCCATTGACTGTGTGGTAGGGGATGGACCAGGAAAGCTCCTGGCAGCAGGTGTAAGTGTGGGATGGCAAAGGATGGCTATCCTGTATAGGGAGGCTGTTTGACTTTTGCCTCTGAGGCAGCCTGGAGGGGGTCAGAGAAGGGATGTTCTGCCCAAGCTTAGTATATACTAAGCTGTGTAGAGGTGCATGGGCAATTCGTGCCCAGTGTGTCAACAGTGTCCTGTACACTAGCAGTCCAAGGGGTCAGTCACATGGATGTACCAGTGCTGGTGCCATCATGGTGGAACTCTGCCCTGGCTCCCCTGTGCTGCAGGTCAGTGGTGGAGCTCTGCCCTGGCTCCCCTGTGCCACAGGTCCCCACACAGGCTGTGGGAATGGGCCCAGACAGGCGGCCACGTACCTCCTGTGCAGCCTTGAGCTAGATGTGCGCAGGCTGTGTAACCTCCCTTGTTCTTTTGCACTCCAGGGTTACTGGTGGGGAGCTCTTTGAGGATATTGTTGCCAGAGAATACTATAGTGAAGCAGACGCCAGGTAAGACTGTTTCTGTGTATGTGCCACGTGTGTTGGCAAGTGGAACGAGTGTCCTGACTACTGTTCTGTGCATGGCTTTGTTCTGACACTCTTGCTCCCCATCTGGAAAAAACAATTTCTCTTTCTGCTATTGGCATAAACTGTTGTCACCAGTCAGCCTAACTCACCACAGCTCTAGCCCTTGCTGCTTGCAGACGCTTCTGTCTTTGCTGCTTGCAGACGCTGTGCTCTTTGCTGGGAGTCCCATTGCTAGTGGCTTTGTCTGCCTAACCTTTCTGGTCGGTGGTGACAGTGTGTCCTTAGTGAGCAAACGTAGGGGAGAACTGTCCTGTGGCTGTGACAGCACTGCCTACTTGGTCTCTGCCTTCTGGTAGGGATTCTAGTGATGTGCCATTGCTGTTGGGCAGACCCACTAAATTTGCCTGTGTCTAGGTAATGGTTTACGGGGCAGGGGGGAGATGGGACTTTGAAGGCTATGTTTCTGTGGAAGCCCTCTCTGTGAGCCGGTTGGTGCAGTGAGAAAAGGCACAATATGTGAGAGCAACCTTTGTATTTTAATATTAAAAAGATTTAGAGTTATGCCCTTCTTTTTCTGAGTGTCCCCCCTCTCTCCCATGCATGAACTTCCTGAAGTGGCCTGTGCTTATTCCTTTGCTGTTTGTACAGGGTGGGTGTTTTGTGCAGCAGTAGCTGAGGGTGTTCTCTGACCCATCCGTTTGCTGGACATGTAGCATTTGGAATCAAACCTGGGATTAGGCAGCTCCTGTTCTGCTTTAGCAGGGCCTGGCAGTGGCCCAATGGTGACACTTCACCCCTGCTTATTCTGCACCCATGTTCTTATCCCATCCTAACCCTTGCTGGAGCAGGAAGTCGGGGAGCCATGAGAGGAGAGGCGTAAGAAGGGAGTAGTGGGTGCTGCTGCAGGATGAGCTTGGTAGGCAGTACTGTGAGGAAGATCATACTGAGTGCAAGGAAGCAAAGAGTATGACTTGGTGTGTTAGTGCAGGTACTGTTGTGGAGTCTGTGGGCGCTTATTTGCTTTCCCTGTGGTATGCTTACAGACTTTGTCATCTGGGCTTTACACAATGCTTTCAAATGAGGCATTGCACTGTGCGCTCCGCCATGCGCCGTCTGCTGATGGGGAAGGCCAGTGGGCCCGTCATCTCTGATGGCGCTCCTGGTAGAGAGGTCTGAGAGCCCTGTAGGTGTTTTCAGTGGGGTGTACAGATGTTGTAGGCACAGTATCTCTGACAGATACATGGTCGCTCAAGCTATTCTGCCTTGAAGTTGGGAAGTTTTGAGGTTATCAATCATCATCCTTCCCCCTGTCCCTCTTGCCTGTTCCCTGAAATGGTCAAGAGCTGGCAGTGACCAACACTGCTCAGGAAAATAATGACAGGGTTAGGGGAAAAGGAGAACTGTCTATTGCTCTGTGAGCCTTCTTCAGGGTGCTCAGCCCTCTGACTGTCAACCGGCCAGGTCTCGCAGTGCCCACCAGATGACAGAGTGAAGCTCCTCCCTTTCTTTCCCCATGCCGAGCTGAATTCCAGAGCAGGCTGGGAGAGCGAGGGAGCGAGGTCTGTGCCAATCCGCCGCACTTGGCTCGCCTGGGACACCTCACACTTTTGCCATTTTTGGCCAGAAAATCTCTCTCGCTCAGACTCGGCTCTGTTCTAATTATACATTTTTGTTTTGGGAGCGGGGAGATATTCATGGACTCCGACCCTGAGGATTGTACTGCCAGCTCCGGAGGGGTGATGGTAGCAAATACACAGTGCTGCACCTCCTCTTCTCTTCCTTCCCTTGCCCTTTTCCCATCTTTTCCAATAGCCAATTTCCCTTCCCTCAAACATTTCACTCATTTCAAATTTATTCCCCTGAGATTTGTAGAACTTGGTGAGCGGACTGACTGATCCTGCAGTGAGGACACAGACCCATCTGAGTTGCCCTCATGTGTGTGCTTACTGCCCAGCCATAGTTGTCAAAATCCCTACTCCATTCCACATTCACCCTTGGGAGCTGAGTAAATGTTTAGTGGAAAAGATGTTTTCAACCAGAAATCTCACCCGTGGGTGTGTTGTGCTGTTCTTATGCAATAGGTGTAAACAACATCTTGCTTTTGCCCTCTGTGGTTACAGCAGTGAGAGTGGCAGAGAAAGAGTTTTCTGTGAGCTGGGGGAGTGCAGCACACTGCACTTAACAGGGAATGAGCCTGCTTCTCAGATCACTAACTCCTTAAGTGGGATCTGTACTTAAAAGGCACCCAGCAAGTGCGTGTGTGCGCACATTGTGTATGTAAAGTGCTTGAGATGCTGCTCTGAAAGCTTTGCAAACGGGCAGGCACCCAGGAGTCATCATCCTGAATTTGCAGGGGGCTGCTGCTGCTCTCTAAAAGTTTATTCTTTGCTTGGGACTAGCCCAGCTGAATGTTTCCTGGAGTGATTGGGTCTTGCCTGCCCAATCTTGGCTGCTGTTTGCAGATACTCAGATGCCGCAGTTCTCCTGTGTGGGGTGGGCACTGTTGGCTGAAGGAACAAGTGAGATGCTTAGTGTGATGGGGAGGAAAGGAAGGAGATGACGGGAGACAGGAGAGAGGCTTTGTGGTCCTGCTATAGATAGGATGTTTAGCGTCCTGTTGCTGAGGGGGGTGGGGGTGTCCAGCTGTGACAGTACTGAGCTGTGGCAACCATTGGGCATGATGAAGGAATTCAGCCTGGGGTCTTGAACTTGCCCTGGTACAAATATAAAAGTTAGGGAAATAGTTCTGGGATGAGATGAGATGCCAAGTGTATGTGTGCGTGTGTGCATAACTGTGTGTCTCTCCCTTTATCTTGCAGCCACTGTATTCATCAGATACTGGAGAGTGTGAATCACATTCACCAGCACGATATCGTGCACAGGGACTTGAAGGTAATATTTCCTCCGTGCCACAGAGGCTGAGGAGAGCAGCCAGGGGATCATTGGAAGAGGCAAGACAGGAATACTGTGTTGCCAGCTGGCAGGGGTTTTGTTGTTTGTTTGTTTTTTTTTTTTAACTTGAACTGGGCTCGGGGGTTCCTGAAGCACAAATTTGCTCCTTCAGAATTTTCTAGAGGGTGTGCTGAACTCCTGAGGAAGTTTTCAGTCTTCATGAACCTTGCCAGCTCTCAGCCTCTCTGAGGCAGCTCCAGGATGGAGTAGTTGTGAACCTTGGAGTGCGGTAGGCTTTCAGAGAAACTTGGGTAGGATTCATTATAATGAAGGATGCTTTCTAGTCTGCCATTGAAGAGATCTCTAGAGACCTGGGGCAATCTCTGTTCAATCTGCCAGGATGAGTTTGTCTGCGTAAGGCATGTATATTTTTATTCTTCACTGTTGCCAAACACATGCCATTGGGCTAGGGCAGAGATGCACAACAATTTTTTGTGTCATTTCTTTCTTCTCTCATCAGTAGAAGTGCTTTTAATCTAGACCCAAAACTGCTGGCTAGGTAAACACTGGGTCAATCAACTGTTTGCCACATTATAACACATTTATAGACCCAGAGCCCCCACAGTGTAGTTACTTAAACTCCCTTCCCACACAGTGCCAGCTGTACTGGGAGCTGGGCAGGCTCCAGAATGAAGAGGTTTGTGCGGGAAGGTCTGCCTGCCCTGCAGCCTTCTCTGTCTAAAGTGGGAATGGTGATGGCCACCAGTGGTCCAGTTAAATTAATGCAGGATGACACCTGCTACTAGTGTTGGTTTTGGTTTGTTATACAATGCATAAGGGGAAAAGTACAAAAATATTTTGCAGAGAGCGAGGTAAAAGTATGTTGCAAGATCAGTGGCAGTGTTCCCCCAGTGTTTTGATCTAGTGGACAGCTGTTAACCCTTAGTGTTTCTGGCAAACTCCTGTGCAACACTTCTGGCTGCCTGATTCAGAGCACTCTGAAAAGATGCAAGTGATCTACTATGGAATGGCTGCTCTGGATTAGAGCTGACACCTGCTCTTGAGAAAGCAGACTACAAGAGGCACTACTGCCCCAAATTAGGGCCTATATGAAAATCAGTAGTTTTTCCAGTACAGGATGGTTTAAGTTTTCCTTTGCATCCTGTGTTCAGATATAATCTGTTTGCTTCCCAAGTTTTGTTTGTGTGAAAATTGTGAACTTGTTTAGAACTTATCAGCTGCTAGACACTCCCCACTGCAGTTAATGTGTTTCTTCTGTTACTTGCTCTGATTCACTGAAACTCTCCAGGCCTGAGGAGTAGCCGGTCCTTTTAGCAATAAAAGATCCTGTGCTCTTTATTTAATAATTAGCTCCTTGCCAAAAGCTTGGCCTTCAGGATCAGTGTCTAATAACTGCAGAGCTTGTTTCAAGTGAAGCTTTGTCTTTCGCAACTCCCTCTCATAAGCCTGTCTTTTGGCTGACATGTTCTTAAAGAACTTAAAGTGTTGGGCTGCCCATAGGGACCATAAGAAATTAGGGAATACATTCACATCCTTACCAAAAAGTATGTGAAACCTGAGACAACCCATATGTTGGCACCCATGCACATGGATAAACACCATTAGCCTTAAGGTGTTTGTAACTGTATTTTAGAAGCAAACAGTGCTTAGCTAGCACAAGCCAGGCCTAAATTTCACTGTTTCTTAGTCAAGCCAAGCCCAGGTGTGATCTGAAGTTGGGAGGGATTTTCAGAAGACTTCATTGGTCTTCTGCTTTAGGGACTTGTTTACACTGGTGAATTTTCATCAGTGTAGCTTGATTAACACAATCTTTTCCACTTCCCATATAGTGAAAAGCCAGTGGCATCCAAATGTACTGAGACCCAGTTCCCCTTCCTTCCATGCTGCTTATGGCAAGGACTGTGATGGGCAAGGCTGTTCTCCCTTCGTTAAAGCAGAAGCAAGGCACATGCCCAGTACTTTAAGGCAGGTGAATGAGCAAAGCATCATGTTCCTGTCAGGCAGAACAGGGATAGAGGCTTGCTGTGGGATGGAACTGGTGAGCAGGCTGCAAAAAAGACCTTCATCGGGTTTTTGAAACTGAGACAACCTCCTGTTTTTGTATTTCCATGCTTCCATCTTGCTCAGTTAAAAAATCAAGTTGGTAGGAATTTCACAAATGATCAGAAGGGGGTAGGATGAGAAATTGCATTTGTCCTGCCTGTCTAGTTTCCTAGAACCCCAAGTTGGGTTTCCTGCAGAGCTGTAATAGCCACCACCTTAAAGGCTTTGGGGTTTTGAAGGGTCACATGTAACTAGCTGCTCTGGTGCTTCAGAGGAAGCTGCTGACTCCCAGTCCAGCTTTTGGAGTTGTGATAAGCCTTCTGCTGAAGCTGTCTGCTGGAACACAACAGAATTATGATTCAAGTGAGATTCATGTGAGGTGGAAATGTGAGGGGCAAAGGTCTGCCTCTCTTTCCTGGCACATGGGGGAAGTGACATGGCTGCTTATGGTATAGGTGTCGGCGGCAGTAGCAAGAGAGCATATTTTACGCTGCTGTAAATATGTAGCATGAAAAAATAGCTTACAAGAACACTCACTGCTGTGCTGCTTATGCCAATTTGAGGCTGAGGCTTTTTCTGTAAGGGATGAAAGCTACTGCCTATCCAGTTGATGCCTTCCTGCATTACGGTGCTGTATTTGGCAGCCCTTATTAGCATCATATTTACTTTTCCAGTGCCTTGGGGACTGTGTAATGTTCATGGGGAGAAACATCACTGCAGATTGTATCTACTGCATCTTTCCCCCTTTTCCTCTCCCCCTGATTACTCTCTGCGGGGATGACAGAAACAAATTTTGGGTTCTGTGCTGCAGGAACTGTACTGCCAGTGCCCTCTGGTGTCAGCATGTAACGTATGGGCTGGTTTAGGAGAGGCTCTGTCTCCCACAGAGGATTTGTGTTAGACTTGAGGATTTTCTGCCACTCTAGGTCGAAGCCGTTTGTTGCTGTTGCTCTGCCCTCACCTCAGCAGCTTTAGTACATGCCTGCTAAGTTCAGTCAGCAGATTGAATTTAATGATGTGAATACTGAGGTAGGAGACTTTAATGAAGATGTCAAGTCTTTCATTCTTACCCCCTCTTTTCTTTCTTCTCCCCAGCCTGAGAATTTACTACTGGCAAGTAAATGTAAGGGTGCTGCTGTCAAACTGGCTGACTTCGGACTGGCTATAGAAGTCCAGGGAGAGCAGCAGGCCTGGTTTGGTAAGAGCGTTTGAGCTTTCCCACTTTTGCTCCCCCCTTTCCTGGTGGCTGGTTGAGTTGCACCTGCCCTTTCTCAGCTCTTCCAGCACGCTTGTGTGTATTTGGCATTGCTGCTTCCTTTCCAAGCATCACAGCCTCTGGGTCATTGGGCATGAGGCTAGGTGCAATCGAGGAAAGAATATGATAAATAAAGACAGAAAAAATGGCCATGTATTTCTCTGTTTTTCTTCTCGATTTACAGTAGATGCTAGTGTGAGAGACGAATGCAGCTGCTAAGTTTAAACCCTGATCTGAACTTCCCTACTGCTCAGGAGTGTAGACATCTGGAATTTTGTTTGGTCATTTTACAGAAATGCATTTGACCTGGCCTTCCTCAGGGACATTTGGATCTGGCCTTATCTTTGTTTAGCTAAAACATAATTAGAAATAAGACCTTCTCAGGCTAAACATCAGCTCTGAGACTGTGCAGCGCTGCAGAGATTCTAGAGAGATAGCTGCTTTCTCCTGGTCTGCCCATGCCATTTGGCAATCGGATGTGTCCCATCTGTGTCTTGTGTTTTCAAACTCCGAGCCATTATATATAACAATGATATAAGGCCTGGCATATGAGTTTGTGCCCAGCTGGTTGACATGGTCCCTCTTTCTTTTCTATTTTTCTTGCAATACATAGACACTTGATCCCATCTGATTTTCTTTTTTTTTTTTCTTTTTTCTCTTTCTCTTGGTTTACCAAGAAGTAGCTCTAGCAAATGTGAGATGAAGGGTGGGAAATGGCTTTTCGAATTTGTTGGTTACCACTAGTGGATTTTGTGATATGGCAAGATCTCTTGTGCTTGGGTACTGTAAGTACTTCATGTCATCCATTTCCTGGCAGGGTTTGCTGGCACTCCAGGCTACCTCTCCCCTGAAGTCTTAAGAAAAGACCCTTATGGAAAACCAGTGGATATATGGGCCTGTGGTAAGATTCTGTCAAAATGTTTTACACTTAAACAACACCATTTCATGTAGAAGAGCAATTCCTTAAAACCTATTGCTGGGAGGGTGCGCAGTGCTCCTTCTTATTGGGTGGAGAGGTGAAGGCACACTTGAGGATAAGCACCTTGTGTAGATGGAGTTAATATTGGAGCCTGAACTCATTTGATTCTGGCTCCTAATCCTTTCCTCAGGCCATCAGTCAGGTGTTTGAGACTCAAGAGATAGGACCTGGCTATGCTTTGCAGAGTCAGTTGTTTAGATAACTGTAGCAATTTCCTATTACACTATGTAAAAGATGAAATACTGAAGAGAGCTGATTTTTTTAAAAAGGAAAAAATGAAGTGTACATGTATCTGGGACTGATAAGTTTAAAGATATATGATATCAGTGTTGCCTGACATGGACTAAATGGTTCTCTGCAGGCCAGGAGTGTTAGCTTTGTCAGTGTCATTTTTGTCCCAAGACCATGCACAGTAAGCATCTAAAAACATAGTTCTTCCTAAAAAGTCCCTTGCTGCCCAGCAACCCCAGGGGCTGTGGCTTCATTTTATTCTGAGAGAGCTGGGAGTTGTGGCTCACTAGCCATCATAGCCAGAGGAGGGTAGAAGGACCTCATGCACCTTGTTCTAGCTCCTGGTAGCTGGTGTTAAGAGCTGAACATGAAGTGCCAGGGAAAGGTTCAAAAGAGGAGAGGTTTGTACTATCCTTTTCTACCTCAGAAGGCTAAATGTGATGGCAAATGAAGATATAGAGCAATCATTGCCTTGGGGACTGTCAAGAGGGAAGGAAGAGGGGCTGAAGGAATAATTGGCGTATTAGCCTAACCATAGTATATCTGTGTCTCTCCCTCCCAGGAGTGATTCTGTACATATTACTAGTGGGGTACCCTCCCTTTTGGGATGAAGATCAGCACAAACTCTATCAGCAGATCAAAGCCGGAGCCTATGACGTAAGGGCACTTTCTTGCTGAGTACCTGCATGGGTGTAGAAGCCATCCAAAACTTGGCACTATCATACTTGGTGTCCAGCAGCAGGCCCCAAGCTACTGTGCAAAGTGATGTTGGGCATGTTCATATACCTCCTTGTCTTCACTGCCTGGGATACAGTCCTGTTTGGGGCTACTGAAAGGATATGTGGAAAGCATTGCAGTGGGCACCAAGAGGTTGCTGGTCGTTAGGGAAATGCAGAGCTAGAAATACAAATGGTGGGAAATGGTGTCTTGTAGTGCATTTACCACAAAGTGCTGCAGATGTAGCCAATGTTAACTCTTTCAGAGGAGCAGAGGGAAGGTAGGATGAAGGAGCCTGTCTTTATCAAGGCCTAATTAAAAGTACGGGGCAGCACTGTGTAGAATAATAGCTTAAATTATGGCTTCTGGTCTCCTCAGTGCCATAGTGGAATTTCTTCCAGCCGTGGAAAGCATGGAGCCCAGTCAGAAGACTGAATGGCAGGGGCCTTTGGAGGGGTGGCTTTGTGGTGGGCATCAGTGTGGTGGGTTGGAGGTTCTGATAAAAAGCCAAACAGTTCATGGAACAGTTATCAGAGCATGGCAAAACTGAGGTGTAAAAGGTGCCTGAGGGAGAGGAGTAGCAAGGAGGTTAGTACTGGGGAGCAAAGGTGGTGTGGAATGTGGTTTGCGTACCACAGCTTGAATGTTGGACATAAATTCTTCCATGTAAGGAGAGGCTCGGGAGGGAAGAAGGAACTCCTGGAAATCCTAGCTCAAAGCCTGTGGGCATGAATATCAAGAGGAAGTTGGGGAGATGATTTTGTAGGCTGTCTTGTGGTTTGTATTTAAAAAAAGGAAAAAAAAAAGCAAGGGTTCTGCTGGACCCCAGTTACCTCACAGCTTCTGTGCCTGAGACCATGAGAGCAGCTGTACTGGTGAGAACAAAGGTCTGCCTAACCCCGTGTCCTGGCTCAGTGGCTTCCTGAGTGAAAGCAAAGTGATGTCTTTGTACTTGATAGCCTTAAATAGACTTGTGTTCTTCTCTTGCCTTCCTGCCTCTCTTGTTCCTGTGTTGCTTGTTCTTATCTGAAGTGGTTTTGCACTAATTGTATCGATGAGGATTTTCAAAGCACTTCAGGTGTTAAATATCTAACTCTTTCTGTAAGTCATGAGGAGTGAAGTGCCTGATGCCTCCTATCTACCTGTTGGTTTTGAATTCTTACCTATAATGAACAAATACTAGTAGATTCCTCTCCTGTTTTGCCTGGTAGAAAACAGCTCAAGTTTTACTGGCGTACCTGCCCCTACTGTCCTTACCCAAGCATCAAGGGGCCTGTGTGCACTGGACTGGTCTGTTGTTCTCTCTTGACCATAGAGGAAGTGGCAACGGTGAATTGGACTTTGTGCTGTTGGGTAGGAGTTTTGTGCAGCGTTACCATGAATGCTTCAGAGTTCAGGTGGGGGGAAAGTGTCCTGGCTAGAAAGCTCAGTATCGTAATTTTTGAGTAGTGTCTTGCAACATTTGCAGAACAAGTTGTATAATGCCTTTCTGATGCCTGAGAATGCAGAAATAAAATTATATGCAAATCAGATACGGTGGATGTATTTTTATGACCCAACTGAGCAAAGCACAAAATGCAAGAGAAAAGAGATGGGATAATCTTTCTAAATAACGTAGTACTGTAAGGAAATGTTCTCAGGATAGATCAATCTTTCCCCACCCCTTAAAGACAGGGGACTTTATCCCAACAGCACATTTATCTTTGTGTTCTCAAGTTCACCTGTACTTGTACAGTAGATTCATAGGAGGGAGACATACTGCATTTAATCTCAGCATGCTGTCATCTATACCACATGCAAGCATCTGGAGGATGGCATAAATATCTCATCTTTATCATTACTAGAATTATAGAAAAGAGCAGTTACCCCTCATGTATGATCAGCAGATGAAATACTTGAGATTCTTGTCTTTGTTTCCATGCTTCTGTATCCCCATCCACTATTACATCTCTCTTGCTTCCCATGTAATGATTTGTGGTATGGTAGATGCTTGCTAACAACTTGCTGGTGGGTTGCTACACCTAAGTGACTGGTGTTCCAGGATATTGTGCTTTAGGGTGGGGAAGGTATACATGATGGGATATTCTCTGTTAGCGGTTTTTGCTTTCATGAGGTTTTGCTGTAGTTAAGTGTTTGTGATTTTGCATATGCTGTTATAGCTTCTTAGGATGCTGGAGAAAGAGCAAGGTGGGGTAAAAAAGGTAGTGCTTGTGTTTTTCATGTCAGAACTCAGTTAAAAAGATCTGTGACTTTACTTTTTTGACTGCTGAGTGTGAAAGAAATTCAAAGGTCTGAGTGATTCCTAAAAGGCTTTTAAACTGTTAATCTTCCTGCCTGTGTCTGGTGAATGGTACAGATGTGTCCTGCTGTCTGGTACCATTCATTTGCTGGATTCTGTAGGATTTTACTTCAGTGTGGGTTTTCACAAAAATTGATGATTTTGTGAATATGTTGACCCTTGTATCAAAAGGGCAAAAGCTGGAATTCAGCTTTGTAGGAGGGAGAATCTCTTTTGCTAGTAGAAGGCATTTTCAGTTCATCATCCGTTCCTTCTTCCTCTTTCAGTTCCCATCACCTGAGTGGGACACTGTGACTCCAGAAGCAAAGAATTTGATCAACCAGATGCTGACGATAAACCCAGCAAAGCGCATCACAGCTGACCAGGCTCTCAAACATCCATGGGTCTGCGTAAGTGTTTTCCTCTATTACAGTTTGATTTGTGGTTTGCCCTGAACTGACACATCAAGAAGACTTAGCTGCAGGGAACTCAGAATATTTTAAATATTTCAAATTGTGATTATTTTTTTTTTGGAGGCTGGCTTTCAACAATCCAACTTTGTCATGCTGTGGTGCTTTTATTGCCACTGTAGGAAAAAAAAATAAATCCCTTATTCTTTTAGAAGTTTTGTGAATGTCCAGTTTCTGGTTTTCCCCACATCTCCTCTTCCAATCCATATCATCCTAAAATGTCAGATGGAGTCTGGCATCAGACAAAATATTTTAGGATTGTTTTGTTCTTCATCTCTACTTCAGTTTATTGCATTGCATCTTTGCAATGTTAGAACATTTCTGCAGTGCTGCAGCTTAACTGGCTGTAAACTTGAAATCAGCGAAAAATCTTTTGCTGTTCTGTGTATGTAGTCTCTGCCTTGCCAGACCCCACACATAAGCGTTTTTCATCTTCTGCAAAGTTGGCAAGGAAATCCCAGAATGCAGCTGGGAGTGGATGTAGGGGAGGGCAGCAATGGTGCACTTTTATCTCTGCAGGATGGAATAGTTCCACCTAATGGTGGTGCTAATACCATAGCATGCTTCTGCCTTCTAGTACGTGTCTAGTGTTTTCCTTTGCTCCTTTGTTCTTGAGAAGCTGTGGTGTTTTATTCCTTGCGCCACAAAACAACAAATTAGCAATTTAAACTTATGTGAACATCTGTGTAACAGGAGTGTAGTGTCTGCTGTGAAGTGATGCAAGTTCCTTGGAAGTCAAAACTTCACACTAGCTGAGATTTTGCATCTCTTTTTTTTTCTCCTTGCATACTTGTAATCAACAGCAGTTCCTGTATATTTAACTTTTGTCCAAATGCCTGTAACCAAAGCTGTATGTATTACGACAGCTCGCTCCCTGTGGCAACATAATGTAGAATGGCTCAAGAGAGGCTTTCCTTCTCTGAGTTATGGGGAGTTCAATTTCACTTCACAGCCATTTCAGCCTCTCACCCAAACTGCCTCCTGTTGAGTCTGTTGTTTCCATTTGCTCTGCAGTCTCTATGTGTGCAACATATGTTTTCTTTCTGGAGAGGTATTGCTCCTCTGAAGTAAATGTGGTAGGAAATCTTAAAAGTTTATCTGAGACACCGAGTTACTTAGCATCACTGAACTTCTGAAGTACGTGTCCTGACTCTTGTAAGCCCACATTGAACAACTGGACATCGCTGTCACTCCTAAGGAGGCTGGATGAACAGTGACTGCCAAAGTTGTTAGAGAACAGTTTAGCTATATTCTCCCTCCATACTGCCGTGTGTACTGCAGCAGGTCACTAGCTTTGATGACAGGATCAAAGCAGAGACTTCACATGAAACTAGCTGAGTATGAACATGGTTTACAGTTCTTTTGGGTATTGCAGATTTTTTTTCCAAGCGAGAGAAGGGTAATGGCAGGTTTGCACACACTGATCTGCCAAGTTAGTAATTCACACGCTGTCCTTGTAAATGGAATTCAGGCTTGTGGCTCTATGCAAGAGCAACAGCTACTTTGGCATTAGCCTCTGGTTTTCTTATGCACTCTAAATGCCTGGCAGCATCAGTTTCTGGTTTCCTCATATGCTTAATGACTGGCAACACTTCTGGGAAGTTCTCATTTTGCAGCTGATGGGATCCCAGTCTACTGTGGCTGACAGGTGTGCATCACTGGCTAGAGGTTATGCTCAGGTTTTTGCATTGGTATGATAGAGCTATATGATCTTTCCTCTTACACACTGAAAATCTGTTTCTGCAAAACTGATGCAAAGATGCCGAGGCCTCTGCTAGTCAAACACTTACATTCAGGGAGTTGCCATGTCCAGGAAGGCTACAGCTTACCAGTATTCACTTACTGCTTGGAATTTCCCCTTAGAGACATAACTAATGCAACATAGATCTTTTCTGTAGTGCCTTTAATTCAGTCCCCTGTGGGTATGCTTGTTCATTTGACTTTGTCTTCTTACTGTCTTGGTCCATTTGTGTGCCTGTGAGACAGGGAGCATTGATTCTCACCTGTACCTCAGTCATAGAGTTTCTTGGGCACAGTCCTGTAATAGCCAACCTTCACTTAATATGTCTTACTGTATTGGGAAGTTCTTTAGTTATGAACTCATTACAGTGTTTTGCAGCCACGCAGTGGTGAGAGACTTGGCCATGTCAGCTTGCATGTCATGGTTGTGTGCAAGTGGAGCAAACTCCCCAGACTGAATTAGTTAGGGTATGTTCTTGATCTTTTGCTGTTCCTGTTTTTCAGCAACGATCCACTGTTGCTTCGATGATGCACAGGCAGGAGACTGTGGAATGCTTGAGAAAGTTCAATGCTAGAAGGAAGCTAAAGGTATGTTCTAGTTTGCCTTAAGTTTGTTTTTAATCCTCTGAATTTGAGGTTAATGCCTTCCTAGCAACAGTATTTTTTTTTATGATTAGCTCACTAACATTAGTGAAGTACTTTATGTGGGCCTCCAGTACAGGATACTGAAGTAGTGTATTGAGGAGCTAGGTAGTTGCTTTCTCCAAAGCTGTAAGTTTCCCATGCCTCTTCTGCTACATAATCACCCCTTCTATGTTCTGCAATAGAGTTGAAATAGAGCAACTACTTAAATCCTGGGGCCCTTAGTTCTGATCACTGTCTGCCTCCCTGTTAATAGTGTATCAGTTGCCTGTAGCTAGGGCAAAGCCTCTGGCCTGTGCATGAAGCAGCTATCTGCTGTTTGAAAGCTAGGAAGCAACTGTGTCTAAGCATAACTTAGTGCCATTTTAGATTTCCTAGGCTATCCTGCCTGGCCTCTAGCTGCCGCTCTAGAAGGGCACGACTCCGAGCAGTCCCATATCAGGTCCAACAGCCACATGTGGGAATCCTGGATATAACTAGGACTTTCCAGGGTAGCATTGGGATACCTCTGCTTTGGCACCTGACGCGCTGTGTTCTCCATGGGTCAGCCCAGCCCCTTTCTGAAGTGAGTGACACTGTCTGTTATCCCTGCTTTCTCTTCCCCACAGGGTGCAATCCTCACAACAATGCTTGTGTCTCGGAATTTTTCAGGTAAGTTCTCATTGTTCCCATCCCTTCCTTGGTTTTGTTTTGTGTGAGTGGTTGGGATATTTTAACTATTTTGGGGTTGAGTAGGAAGGGAGGAAACATGCTCACAATTTGTCATGGTGCAGTGGTGGTCGCTTTGCCTTGGCTGGCGACCAATATGAAATAGGAAGTGATTTGTTTGGAGAGGAGCACATGGCACTGTAGTCTGGTACTAAACAGAAATAAAGTCAGCTGCCACAATCCTCTCAATATACTTTGTTATCAGATTATTTTGGGGAAATTCTACCTGGCATTTGTTAGCTTTCACGTCTGAAACCAGGAGTCAAAAACTCTTATTAGGTAGCAGTGATTCCTTTAGACCTGAGGGAGGGACACGGCAAGTAATAATATTGGTGAGAATAGAGACAACAGCTATTTGGGTATTGTATTACTTTGACTCATCAAAAATGGGTCTGAAGCATCTAGCTATTACAGTTTTCTTTCTTGGAGTCTCAGAAGGGGTTTTCATCCTTTTAAGCTGAATAACTGGTAGCTTGGCTCCCACCCAACTGCATTACATAGTGCACTTACTGAAAATGCAAATCTCAACATGCAAATCAGTGCTTTTTGGAAGATGATTGTCTTGGCTCAGCACATCTACGTGATGCAGTTTTATCTGTGTTCACTTCCATTTGGGTGGAAAACCTCCATTTGCAAGTGCTTTTGGTTTGTGGGATTGTTTGCTTTCGTTGCCGTCTTTGCCATTTTTTCCCCTCTTTTAAAAAGGGTAATCATTGAATGCATGAGTCAAATTTTTTATTGCATCTGCCTACAGTTACTTTCAAGTGAAAGTCTGCTATATGGATTATAAGTGATGATGAATGAAATGGAAGTGTATTAATGTCATCTGGCCATGTACTAATGGTGGATACTAATACTTGTATTCTGGGTGATGTTACAATAAACTTCTAATTGGCATGAAAACCCCATCCCAGCATTCAAAGCGCACATTCATGCATACATTCTTTTGTGAAATCAAGGCAGCATTTTTAAATGGTGTATGGTGATCTGAAAAAAAAGTAAAGGATGTGAAATCAAGCTACAAGTAAGGGACAACCCTCAGCAACTTCAGGATGGTTTTTCCTTGGTTCTTGCTTTCAGGTGAACCTGTGCCAATATGTCGGGACTACTTGTGACTACAGCAATTTCTCTTTACTGCATTTCTGATAGTTTGGCCTTAAACGGACAGAATAATTTTCTCCATTCACCTGTCCCAGGATTGTGCTATTACAGGACTTAAAAATTATACATTGTTTTCTGAGAATGGTTCTGAAATAACTGTTTGAGGAGGTATGGCACAACAACATGGCTTCTGCAGGACTGTATGAAACTTAACATTTTCTTGGGCTTTCTGCTAGTGTGAACAGTTTTTGATCTGTTCACACAGCTAGTTTTTATTTCACCTAACTGATGATTCTGAAATAGTCAGGGTTTGGTTTTTTTTTTTAAACAGCAGTTTTAGAGTCATTTTTAGTCTGCAAATGTTGTCACTTCTAATGAAGCTGCAGAAGTGCTTGGGTAAGAAAATCTCCTGTGGCCCAGATTCTGAGTACATGAAATGCCTGAGAGAAGGGTTCTCCTTAATGATGTGTGACCTATACATCCACTTATTCCCTGAGCTAGTATCAAGGAGGAAAAGGCTTGTTCTGTTCATTCTTCTCTGTTTCAAGGGCTGAAGCTGCTGGATCTGCTTCAGTTAACAGCTGAAAAAAAGGAAATCCTAGGTGACCCATAGTGAGTGCAGGGTTCTCAGTATCACTGAGTTCTGCTTTTGAATATAAGCTGCAATCCCAGGTAATGAGACATGCTAAAAAAATGTGCAGAAACAAATGTTGTGAATTTAGATGCAAAGCATTTATAGTCTCAGCGGATAGTAGCAATTCCTAATTTTTGATGTGTTTTGAAAGTGGGGAGATCAGCTACTCTTGTTTTCTTTGCAGGACTGTGTGTAATATGAGCTTGACTTTTTAAAATTATTACTATTTTTCAGTTTACTTAGGTTTTTTAATTGCTGCAATTGAAATACATAAATCTGCTGGAATTGAAGAATAAGTGCGTGCTAACTGAAAGTAAAGAATTACAAAGTCCATGTGGGAACTTTGGGTAGAGCTCAGACTTTTCCTATCATGATAGGTCATCTAACTCCACTTGAAAAGTTCTGAAATAGTACTTGCTTCTTTCCCTAAAGACTTTAAGAGGTTTTTATTTTCTCTAATGGGGTGACACTGTTTTGTGGGCCTCTGAAAGCCCCATTCCCAGCAGACAGGGAACTAGATTTATGAAGAAAGCAGCTTCTTCCTGTTTGGGGATGAGATCTTCTAAAAGCTTCTTCACAGACATTTTGAACCAGGAAGAAAATGAAGGCTCATGTGACCCTGGTATCAATTGATTAGGCGTGATAGTACTATCTGCAGGAAATATGAGAAGACTTCTTTAATCCTGTTTTTATTGCTATCTCCTGTCACACATTTTGTAATATGGAGTTCCTTCATTTGAGAGTGTGGTTTTAGCTTGTGACAAATGGTATGCTTAGAGTCTGTAGCAGTACTCCTCTTTTTTCCCATCAAAAACCCCTTACTTTTTACAAAGCAAAAAAAAAAAAGTTTCTGTTCTTTTGTGAGTAATCTGTTGCTTGCTATGTGCCTTTTGCCCCAGATCAGTTCCTAAAGATGAAGGAATGTGATCTGGCTCCTTTCCCCAGTTACAGTGTATTCAACAATTTAATATTAGCTGTTTGTGGTGGTTCTTAAAAGATTGTGTCTCAGGTCAGCTGTAGGCTATTTGTTAAAAGCAGATACAGTCGCACTCCTTTCAGTGTAGCTCAGGAAACTGAGACCTGGTTACAATAAGGGGTTTGCAGTTTCTGTCCACACTCTGGTAGGTATTCACTCAGCTGCAAGAGAGAACGTTGCAATATAAACTTCGCTGTGGGATATTCAGAGTTGCACCAGGGTATACACAGGATGATTTGAGTGCTCACTTGAGGCTTTTGATGTTCAGATGATCCAGGCAAATGCTGATTTTATCTGCGTTCACTTATGGAATACAGAAGTATAGTCAGGTAAATCAATTGATTAGATCATATGCAAGAAACTCCTAAATCACCTTCTGAGAAGTAAATGTAAATTTATTACTAAGAGAAAGTTGGCAAGGCTTTCAGAGATTCCTGATAGTTGCAGTATTTAAGAGTGCATGGACTCATTTATGTAGATAAAGCTCTGTAAGTAAGCCTGCTGTAAAGTGAGTAAAAGGATGGACAAAATTGGGTTTCATCCTAGAAACAGCCATCTTCACAAAGTGCTGAGAAGTGTATTTCAGGCTTTAGTTTTAATGAATGCTCCCTCTTTCAGTTTTTCTCTGAAAACCATTGGGGCATGTCTGGGAGATGGGTGTGCATCTTCAAACACTATCTAACCTTGAGGTTTTCCCAAAGCATTGGAAGTATTTGTACAAGTCTAGGCATTGTCTGTGCCTGATGAGATGAATTGGATAGGAAGGAAGGTGTCTGCTATGTCTAGAGATCCTATGGGTCCAGATCACATAAAGGCTTGCATTGCCTAATGGGTTGGAGTTTTTACCTGCCTTTCCACCTGCTTTTACCCTTTTCTCTCTGCTTGTTTTAAAAAGAGTGTTTTGAAGTGACTGACTGCTTTTCACGACCCTTTGTTTATCCTGTAGCAGTTCTTTGAACAGAATAATTTTAGTCTTGCTGAGGAATAGAAGCCCTCATGGAAGGCTTTTCATTGAGGGAGGGAAATGTTAAATGTTGCTGCTTATCTGCTGCTCAGGTATGTTTCTGGAACAGTGGTGTTGTTTAGGGGGCAGAGGGAGTTAATAGCAAAGCAGGATTTAAAAAAAAAAAACAAAAAACCAAAACCAACTATTCAGCAAGAGAGAGTCCACACTGTAAATTCTGCCAGGCAGTTATCCCATGCAAATAGGTTGTCTTTCTATTAGTCTCTCACTTAGCACATAGCATTCCTGTGCAATTGCTATTGCAACACATTCCCATACCAAGTCACTGGAGAATCTAAGAGAAAGGGGACTGCTGAGACAGAAGCCAAAGTGAGGGTAGAGAACACAAGACAACAACTCCCCTCTATTCTGTGAAATCACTGTGCTGTGTTTAAACAGCTGCTTCTAGAGTGACTTGTGCCTAAATAGCCATCATGGCAGAGAGTTAAGAGTCAGTCTTTGCTCTATCTTGTCCTTAATAAATAGATGTTCTTGAAGTTACACTGCATTTGTGGGCATCATTTGTAATGGTAGCCAGAGGTGTCTCTTTGTGGCTATATACTGACTGTCAGTTGGTTTGTGGTGAGCCCCAGAAGTGACATCAAGTTGAGAATTAGTTAATCAGACTTTCGCTGAAATTAGAATATGAGGATGACAAGTCACAGCTCTATGCCATTGGGAATTCTGTGTTGGTATAATACTATTTTTATTTTAATAATCAAGTCTCAGCAAAGTCCACAATTCTTCGTGGTGTAAATGCTTGTGTTTAGAAGCCAGAACTTGGCTTGTCTGTTAGACTAGCATCATTAGTTAGTCAGGCTTAATAAAAGCAACCTCAGTGTTATCCCTGCATCCTAAAAAATACTCTCTGGAAGCTTAACTGAGATGAGAAACATAACTGAGATTTGACAGCTGGGGACAGGGCAAACCAGGGCAGGCTGGGTGAAGGGCTGCTCTCTCTGGAAGAGGAGGAGTGGGGCTGGTGGTGGGGAGGAACTATCCACGGCTGTGTTTAGAGTGGGTATTTCAGTCCCTCTTGGAAATTCACTCCTCCACTGCCCCCTCTTGGCTCTGGTACATCCAGTGTCTAGTGTTTATTGCTGATGAGTTCAGTGTTAGGGATTTGTGTTTCTGCCAGGATCGTGGTCCAGAGCCCAAGCTGTTTCCTACAGAGATCAAAACTGAGAAATGTGGGAAGACAGAGGGGTATATGGGGGGTGCCTTTTGTGTTTCTCTTCAGAGATTAACTGGAGGGCGTCTTGTTAAACCAGGAACAGAACTGTGCTTTTAAGTTACCGGGTTAGCAGCATGTGCCTTTGTACTGTTTCATTATAGAGGAACTCTTAATTCCACTGAGAAGAGGGAATTTAATCCCTTTAATGTGTAGAAGAGGTAGGAAGGATGGTGAAAATAAATACTGGTATCTCATGCTTGGAAAACTGCAGAGCATGGGTACAAGACCATTTCCTGAACAGTGAAGAGTCTGCCTTGGATTTTCTGCCTCCTGTTGTCTCTTTGTGAAGTTGCATGCTGGCTGATGCTGCCAGACTCGTAAACTGATTCTTGTTACTGGAAGCCTTGTCTGTTGCTTGCTGCAGAAATTCCACTTGCATCCCCATTAATTTGTCTCACAACATGTACAGGCTGACCTGTGGGTAAATCTGCATGCCTCCCTTTTGTTTGAGGTGTCTGCAGTCGTCTTTGCATGTGAATGCATTTCATGGGCTCTCCGGTTGTCCTTACAAACCACAGTATGATGCGTGAACTAAATACACCACAGACCGAGTTTCCTTCTGCAGTGCTGGGATGCTGACAGGCTTGTGGGAGAAGAGTGTGTACTGTGCAGAGGTACAAGCAGGGAAGGGGTCTGAAGGCCAGGCTGCGCTTGGGAGCATTGGGTCAACATTACCTAGTGCTGGGCCGCACAGAGGGACTCTCAGCTGAATTTGCTTTAATGGTGTAGAATGTGATTTTAGCTGTCTTTTGTCCACAAAGACAAATGTGAGGTTCTGGGGAAACTGCAGAAAGTGTAAAAAATGTTGCTTCCCAGCTTGTGTCTGGGTCATTCCCAGGACATAAGGTGGTGCTGTTTCCCTTCTCTGATGTTTTGGGGTTTTTTTCACTTCAAGGATGTCCCGTTTGTGATATTTGTTAAGTTGCAGAATCCTTTACTCCTTCAGAAGTATTCTAAGGCCGTAACAGTTTCTTGTTTTCAGCAGTTGCTGTGTGAGATGCCTTGATGTATGTGTGGTATAAATGCTGGACCCCTTTTGACCCCATTGTTCTCCTCACTTCGATGTCGAATCAAGCTGTCTTCATCATGCCTTGAAGGTGGCAAGAACTTCTCTGTTAGATTCAGTCTTGCAATGCTTTAGTATGTGTACACTTAGCAAAGAAACTGTTGCAGGACAGATGAGTTGCTTGGATGACTTTGCCCACCTTCATGTATGCACATTAGAGCATTGTGTTTTGACACATCACATTCAGAAAACCTCTGCATGAGGTTCTTCCAGTGTTCTTGGATGGTTTCTGAGAGCAAGAATGAAGACAAAATCCTGATCTAGATTTATACTTGCATTAGGAAGTAGAATTAGGAAGACCAATTCAGAGATTGTAATAAACTTATATGGGGTGCCACCTCATTGTTGTGAGGAGACACCTTAGTCGTTGCACCAGCTCAGCTAATACTGTCTAGTTAATCCATATCTGTAGGGTCATATGGTAGGGAAAGCAAGGTGGAAAATGCTTTTGACACAAAACTTGAACAGTTGCTTGGATATTGCAAAAGCATTTTTGCCTAATGTTGCTGCTTCTAGAGAGAGACTGAGCACTCTGTGTGCGAGTTGGTCAGCATGTCTTTGGGAGCAAAGCATTTCAACAGTCATGTGAGCATTGTCTTAGGACTTGCCTTTTCTCTAGGCCTTATCTTTTCTGGAGCTAAAATCCAGGTCAAATACCCAGACCCGTATGCTTCCCAGCAGCTGCTTAGCAGAGGCATGTCAGTGTGTTTACAGAGGTTGAAACAACTGAATATGTTCTTCATGGGTAGGCAAGCTATGTTTTATATCTATTGAGGTTGTAGATAGAGTCTTACTGTTGACAGTCATTGTCAACATACCAGTTACCTGTAATCGATGGAGCAGCTCCTTCATCAGTCCTAAGTGTGCCTTCTGCCAGGCATTTGTTGTGGGTTCCCTGTCTGTGCTTATCATGCTCTCCCTTTCATTGCTAGTGCCAGTTGTTCAAGTTGAGCACAGCAGAGCATCTTTATCTTTCAGTGAAGAAATTCAGCCTAGTTCCTGTCTCTTTTCTCATTCTCTTTTCCTTTTTTTTTTAAACAGTTATCAGAGGCTGCCTTTTGCACTTTTCCAGTCTCTTCCTTTCAGCTATCCAGATGTTTCCCCAGAGTAACTGTGAATAGTAGTAATTAAGAGGCCTCCACATTATGAGTGCCCCCTTTATAAGCAAAGTCTGTTACGTGAATGGCTGCACTTGAGGGGAAAGCCCTTATCCTGTTGCAAAGATGTGGCAGATTTCTTTAGCATTTTTCCCTGTAACTGCTGGTACTTCTGGATGGGGTCACAGTGTGTGAGTAGAGCATTGAAATGGAGCTCTAAAGTCTCATTTCAGACTTGGTCTTCCTGAGATGGTGAAAGTGGGAGTGTTTTTGCCTAAGGAGGTGAACAACAGCTAGGATGGGTGACCCTCTGCCACTGGGATGGATTTGATGAGTGACTTGGCCTGTTCTCCAGGTCTCTTGCTGTTAGAGAGGAATTAGCAGGATGGTTGTCCTTCTGAAGTCTTGTGCAGTTTTGAGGGAAGGGGCCGGGGGGGGCGGGGGAGAGAGAATAGTCTTGAAACCAAAATCTGACCTACTTCTCCTGCTTCTCTCCACAGCTGCCAAAAGCCTGCTGAACAAGAAGTCAGATGGAGTGAAGGTAAGTTCCTGCTTTCCCATTTCACTGTCTCTCCCACCATCTGAACAGAAGACAGCCATTTTCCCTGGTGCCCATCCCCTTCCAGGGTAAAATCACAGCCCTGTCCTGTGGCTGGGATTGTTATGCTCAGTGTATCATTATAGAGCCCTGGGTGGGATCTTAATATTCCTTACATGCACCTTATACATCACACAACTAGCTAAGTGCACTGTTGTACCAGCAAGATTTCTTTTTCCCCTTTCTCTGAAGTATGGAGAACTGGTCAATGCTGTGGATTAGAAAGACCAAGGACTTGCACAAGTGTAACACACACCTCTGACTAGTCTGTTCTGTTCAGTGCAGAATGCTTCCAAGTATCGAAATTGCACAGAACAATTGTCAGTGACTGATGATACCCAGCAGACCTTGTGGAAGTCTCTTTGTCTCCCTCCTTGGACAGATGCTGAAGGTTGAGCTGGAAAGAGGGGTGGAGAAGGAGGAGCCTCCAGATGTTCATGTTTGGACGGAATGGAAACTGAGTCTTGTGTTAGAGTTTGGTCCCTGTCCCTGAGGGCCAGGCACTCCCCTGTTCCCTTCTAAGGGGAATTATTTTTTCCCCATTTCAATTTCACTCTTTGTATGCAGAGTCATCCTTTAGTTCTGGAGGTCAAATAGGCCATTCCCAAGGCTGTATATTGTTGCAGGCAGTAGCCCTTTACCATCTGGTACTGGAGTAGAGACAGTTATGAGCTAGAGCACTGTCTTCCCCTAACTGTTCCAAAGGATAACTGTCCTCCACATGGGAAAGTAGGGTTTGGTTTATTTGCTTGCATTTCCATTGGAAGTCCAAATGTTTCTCCACAGCTGTTAGGCGGAATAGTTCATCATCTGGTTTTGCACTGTGGACAGTCTTCATTCTCCCCATGGTGGGGGGTTGACAGGCACACTGCAGGACCAGCACGCTTGTTCTCTCCTGCTCTGTTAGCCCTTTTCCATTTTAATGAGGCTCTGTTTCCAGAGGGCTCACAATACAAGCAGGCTGCTGGAAAAAGAGGTGTTTTCAGAGGAGTTGTGTTTATTTTAGGTACTGCTCTAGTAAAACCTGCATTCTTGCAGTTCTGCTATGTTCTGCCCTAATGACACCCAAGTTTGGGGTATTTTTTGACCAAAATGCTATAGTGCAACTGCTGTTCTTGCCCTAGGATACTTATCTTTGAAATGTACCTGCAAGAGTGAACTCTTGTGCCTTTGCACATGCCTGCCTCTTGTACTGACATGCACTGAACACATGCACACTAATACAGCAAGTGTGTTTTGAGTTGTCGCATCTGTCAATATGGAAAACTTTGCAGTAAAATCCCAGTGGAATAAGAATGGGTGATCCCAGATGTTGTGAACTGAGAACCAGCAGATACTTGCTTCAAAATCCCAATGTGGCAGGGGAGAAGCAACTGGGAAAGCAGCAGATACCAACACATCTACATAGTTTTTGTTAGCTGTCTAGAAAAAACTTGTTTTCTTCTCAGGATTCTTGATTTCCAACAGGCTCTCAGGGAGTGCTACAGCTTGGGTCAAAATCTTCCAGAAATGGACAGGTGATGTGCACATGGGTTTTGAGGCACAGCTTCCTAGTCATGTAGTTACAAGGAGACCTGTTATGTTAAAAGACTTCCAGCTCCACAGAAAGCTTGTGGTGTTTGGTTTATTGAGAACACGGTGTCTTCCTCTGTGAAAAGGGTAAAGCTGGATTTGCTTTTCTAGCTTCAACTCTTCACAGTATATATTGTTCCTGATACATACAATTGAATACTTGTGATAAAGTGGAAGGTAGATTAGAGATCACAGCATTCTCTGTACGTGGTGAATGGGGTTGTCCTCTGGGAACCTCTTCTCTACTTCTGCATGACAGTGGAGACCTGCAGTCAAGACTCTGCATGTAACTTCCTTGCTCCTAAGTGTTAGAGCAGTCTTGCTCTGCAGTATGAACCTGAGTGGTGTCCATGAGGGGCATTACATGCTTTCAACCTGCACTGAGGGCCCTCCGAAGAGTTGTTTAAGCTTACCATTTTCCCCAGACAGCATCTATCTTCAGGTGTGGTTTTTGAGTCCTCACTTCTATAAGCTTTAAAACTCAGAAGTTATATATTTTTTCTTAAAGCTGGTGTTTTGAGTAACCCTCTTGCTCAATGATGCAGACTTTTAAAAGTACAGGTCTCTTCCCCCTGGTGCTAAGTTTGGACAAGATAGAGAGCAGGTGGTGGTCTGTGTGTGTTTGTAGTACATCCTTAACACTTCTGTTGTAGGATTTCTGTGGCTACATGCTTATTTCTTTCCTTGCTCTGGCTGTCTACATGTACAGTGCTGATTCCCGTTAGTCATCCTATGGAAGTATATAGCCTTTTACCACTTCCATTTGCTTATTGGAGCAGTATTGGCACAGTTGGCTGCTGTGCAGCAGTCTCTGTGCTGGTCACTGTCTGGCAGGTGGCCTCACCGTTGTGACCAGCCTGCTTTTCGTGCATTGCTCGTTATGTGGGAAACTTGTAATTTTAGCCCCACTGATCTTCTCATCCTAGGTAGTTCTGACAAACAACTTGTGCCAGTGACTGCTTGAGTTAAGAGCATCTGGTCTTGCGTTACCCGTAGGAAACTATGATTTTCTGCCCACTGCAGTAGTGCAGGGCACAGATACCATGACTTGAACACCAAACAGATTTTCAGCTTTGTGGTACCCTTTCCACTCCCACTTCCTATATAAATAATTTTACATCAGATATAGGTTTAGAACAAGCATTGCATGCTGTATCTTTAACTGTAGTCTGCTGCTGACCACCTGCCACGTGGTGAGACTGTTTCTTATGTTCCTTTCAGATATGGAGACTCCTGGTTTGTTTGGTGGTTGGGTTTTTTGTTTGTTTGTTTCTTAAAACCTTCTTGGAAATTAATTCCTTACAGAGATTTGAGAGGAAATATGTTTGTTTCTTCACTGGCTTTATCTGGTCCAGGGTGACTGTGCTCCATGAGACTGTTGCCATAGATGTCCACACAGTAGATGGGAATGGGAAGAGTATTTCTTCCACAAACTGATGATTACACCAGTGTAAAAATTAATGGCTTTAAGCCCATTGAAAAAAAAAAAAAACATTGCCAGTTTGTCTTAATTTACTTTCTGTTCAAGATAAGGTAACTTTCCCATACTTTTGGCTGGTATTCAGAGCTATCTATGCTAGAATCTTGCTTTATTTGACAAATGCAGCAGGAATTGCTATTACATAGTAATAGGCAAGTTTGAGTGAGGCCTATATGTTTTTCTCATACTTTATTCCCAAGAACTCCATGACAATGTGTATTGGTGAATATCTGATGGAAGGTGCAGCATGTTGTTGCTGATTTAGCATAAATGAGAGAGGAATGATATATTAGTTATTTGTGGTGATATAAGCATCTAGTGTGAGTTGTGTTGAGCTGATATGTAATAAAAACCCCACATTTTTTGTTTCTATAGGAATTGGCTTTAATCCTTTGCTGAAGCAAGCCTAACACACTAAAGCAATGGTGATGCATGCATTTTACTTGCATTAGACCATTTGGGGGGGTGGGGGGGAAGTTCAAGTCAGGAGGGGAGGACAAAAAGGAAACATTTTTTTATTCCGATGTACATGTATCCACACTGGGGTTATTTTGATAAATTTCCATGTGTATGACCCTCTCCTCTGGCAAATTCCCTTCCAAAAATCTACTTGAAGCATTCCTGGCTTTCATTTTGCACTGCTGCTTCTATTTCAAGTACTAATTCTGCTAATTGGTAGATATTTCATCAGCTTGGCACTTGAGAACTTTTCCATTATCTTAAATAATGAATGATTTAAACTGCCTTGAATCTTAAATTGTCCCTACTCACCAAACCTTTGGTAGTGCTGCACTCACTTTCTTCAGGCAGAATTTGGATCCAAGCTGATGGAGTAGCAGCAAGGAAGGCCCAGGTTTTATCCCCAAGGAACATGCTTTTCTGCTTTCAAATCCAGAAAGTGAGGCTAGAAGATACTGGGTGACGAATTGCAGAGCCATGTAACGTACCACGTGTCTTGTGGCCACCACTGTAGGTCCCAGGTATTTTTTTTTTAAGATTCTAAATTTGTGAGCAACATTGTGCAGCTTCCATTTTAAAATTGACTTTACATAGTTTCATGTCAAATCTACTTGCTTTCTTGTTCCCCTTTCTGCCTGTAATCTGGACTTGCCATCCACTGCAAGGTGAGGGAGGGGTTAAGGAATGGGCTGGGGCAGACATCTGGGTGAAGATTAAGGACACTTTATGCTGAATGTCCTTTCTCTGACCTTGTTGGGATCTTGGCTCCCTGTAGTTAGTGTTACAGTCCTACTGTTGATTTTTTTTTTTTTGTCTCTGGGCAGCACTTCAAACAATTGTGTTCCCTTTTTTCCCAAAGGGGAATTTCCCTTCCTACTGGTGTGAGAGGATGTGTGTGTTTCCAGTTCTAGCAGGGCCTGTCAGATCCATCTTTATAATCAGAATTTGTTAATGCACAAAGTGCTATTTTTAGTTAAGTATATAAGTATTTTAAAATTAGTTCTCCTCTAAGCTCTTTGTCAGTTTCTTCTTCTTTTCTTTCTTTTTTTTTTTTTCCTGAGCACTTTGGTTTGATTAGAGGATACAAATTATATCAATAATGTTTTTCAGGGCCAGTGTAACACTCTGTGTAAATAGTAACTTGTGGAGAATGCTATGAGATGCAGGAGATTTTAACAGAATTCACTTGCAATGCTCTGCAAAATTTGTTGATTTTCTACCTTGTCTCGCTGCGGCACACTGTGTTCTTTCCCAGTAAAAGCTGAACAGCTGAAAGGAGAACTCAGCTGAAAGAGTAAAAATCCAGATTTTTGGTGTGGCAAGGTTAGTGTTGTAAAACCTGCCCTTCATCTTACATAACTGCAAAGAGGCACTAGTTACCATTTGTTCTGCTGTTTGTAGGGAATATTGCAGTAAGTGTACACTTGATGCC